GGGGCGTGAGGGACACACGCGGACGGCCCTGGGGCTGCACCTGGCCACGCCAGGAGCAGTGGTAGAAGCAGGAGCAGCAGGAGCAGCGGTAGCAGTAGCAGCAGGGGCAGGGCAGTGCTCACCAGTGGTGGGAAGGGCAGGCGCACGACGGAGGCTACTGCGGGGCCGCTACAGCGGCAGGGCGGGGCCGCGACCGCGGCAGGAAGCTCCGCGGCAGTTGGTGCAGGGCGGGACCGGGCCGCGACGGCGGCTGGTGCAGGGCAGGGACAGGGCCGCGACGGTCGCTGCTGCAGGGGCGGCTGCTCCAGGGGCCAGGGGCAGCTCCTGCAGTGGTGGCTGCTCCAGTGGCCGGGGGCGGCTGCTGCAGGGGCGGCCGCTCCAGTGGCCAGGGGCGGTTGCTGCAGGGGCGGCCGCTCCAGGGGCCAGGGGCGGCTGCTGCAGTGGCGGCTGCTCCAGGGGCCAGGGGCGGCTGCTCCAGGGGCCAGGGGCGGTTGCTGCAGTGGCGGCTGCTCCAGGGGCCAGGGGCAGCTGCTCCAGGGGCGGCAGCTCCAGGGGCGGCTGCTGCAGGGGCGGCTGCTCCAGGGGCGGCTGCTCCAGGGGCCTGGCGCGGGGTAGGGCAGGGCGATGCGGCGGGCAGGGGCGACGCCGCGGGCAGGGGCGACGCGGCGAGCAGGGCGACGCGGCGGGCAGGGGCGACGCCGCGGGCAGGGGCGACGCGGCGAGCAGGGCGACGCGGCGGACAGGGGCGACGCCGCGTCAGCAGCTGGGCGCGGCCGCGTCAGTAGCAGGGCGCGGCCGCGTCAGCAGGAGGGCGCGGCCGCGTCAGCTGCAGGGCTGGCGGGGCCGCGTCACGGCAGGGCGGGGCCGCGACTGCGGCCTGACGGGGCCGCGACTGCGGCCTGACGGGGCCGCGACTGCGGCCTGACGGGGCCGCGACTGCGGCCTGACGGGGCCGCGACTGCGACTTGACGGGGTCGCGCGCTGGCCTGACGGGCCTGGAGAGGCTGCGTGCGGGCGGCGAGGGCCTGCAGGGGCGGCGCGCGGTCGGGCAAAAGCTGCGCGCGGGCGGCGTGGTCCTGCAGGGGCAGCGCGCCGACCTGACGGGCCTGCAGGGGCGGCTCTCGGGCCTGACAGGCCTGCACAGGCGGCTCAGGGGCTTGACGGGCCTGCAGAGGCGGCTCGGGGGCCTGACGGACCTGCAGGGGCGGCTCGAGGGCCCTACTAGCTTGCAGGGGCGGCGCACTGGCCTAGGGCAGCAGGAGGCAGCGCGAGGGCTGCAGGACGGCGCGCAGGCAGAACGAAGGGCGGGGCGCACGAGGGCGCACTAGCAGAAAAAAAAAGGGCGCACGAGGGCGCACGAGCAGAGAAAGGCGCACGAGGGCGCGCGTAAGGTAGGGCGCACGAGGGCGCTTCTAGCGGAATAGTGGGCCCGTAGTAGTAAGCGGTCCTAGGTGGCAACCTAGGCTCGTGATACCATGTCAGAATGAACTAGAGTGATTGCACTAGGAAAGAGTTGGGTACAAGTAGGAAACCCTAAACTTACTGTACCCCATAGTAACTACCCCACTACAGCCTAAACAAACTGTAGCAGATGTAACATTTGACACTGGAACGTTTAAGCAATTCGTGCCTTACTCCAAAAGAGGTTGCGCCTATTGGTAAATATCTATTACAGAAACAAATCACTACACTAATCAACCGTGAACCTATACTCAAAGTGTCATATCATAATTTTACAAATCAGAGGATGGAATTATGCAAAAGAAACTAACCAGAAAGCGAATTTTGAGGTAATTTATTACTTAAGAAGGTAGTTTACAACTTCAAAAGTAGTTTAAATATTAAACCGATAAGCAACCGATTTGTAACTCCGAACTCCTTAGCAAGGTTTCGAGAACGATAGAATCCTTGCCGAAAAAAAAGAACGGACGAAATGCCCGAATTGAAACACAGAGGAGGCAAACGAAGCTGCACCATTTCGCTAGGAGCAGCTATTCCGTAGCTATGAATCGAAAGCCAATCAGAAACATCCACGCCAACTGACCCTCTGATCTCCCCGCCGATTACTGTCAGAATCCCAACCACTAGACCATTGGAATAAAAGGGCTTGTTAAGTAGCGGGTCAGTGCGCCCATAACCCCCCAGGCCAACATGCCTGTAACCCTTCCCTAGGATCAATCGGTGATCACCAGTGGACCTCTGACACCCCCCCGCACTGGGATGCCCGAAGTGCACACACCGGGATTCGAACCCGAGACCTTCGCTCTGATACCATGTCAGAATCCCAACCACTAGACCATTGGGATAAAAGGGCTTGTTAAGTAGCGGGTCAGTGCGCCCATAACCCCCCAGGCCAACATGCCTGTAACCCTTCCCTAGGATCAATCGGGGATCACCAGTGGACCTCTGACAATTACCGAATCGCCCACGCTCAAAGCAGCTCAAAGGTAGCTGTGTCGTAACTTTCAGTCAAGCAACTTCAAAGCACCTGAAACTAAAGCTACCCCTCCATCCTCCATGTTTTTGCGATGATGCCATAATGAGTGGAGCTCGACTGCCAGTGAAGGTCGAGGCTTGTGGTGGGCATTCGCACACAGATACGACACGATGAGCCGTCTCGTCGAAGCATGATTAGGATGTGTCTCGGTTCGCCTCTGGTCGGCTATGATCTCGTCGAGGCTGATCTGATCGGGTTGCCTTTGTTTGAATAGCTCGCGCCGCCCGATGAGCTAAGAATTTCCTCAAATATTTTACGAGGGTACGTGGCAAGCGTCCAAATGTTTCCTGCCACTTTCGGGCCCACTTTGGTGACTGCGAACGCCTCGGCATGGAAATAGCGAGTTTAGTGTTTCCCTGTTATTTCGCGAAGCCAGATGCCCAGAAACGCTGCAGGTCCAGATTCGCGACGACAGGGTATTCACGACGAGTTCACGAACCCATGCCGAACATTGTAACATTTTGCCAGCGTCGTTCAGTACCCCAATCAAATGCAATCAAGTGATCGTCGGTGATTGTGTGGGATTGTGTTTGATTGGGCTGTTTTAGGCAGTTGATCGTGTGGGGGCGATCAGCTGATCGCGATCAAGTGATTGCCCCCGATTGCCTGAAATCGCTTCCATACCTTCCTAGAAGTTATTGATCACGTCTGAAATAGGCAATCAAAGGCGAACTGAGACACGTCCTTACATGGCGGAGAATCCACCGGCGAAGAGGTCGCGTAGAGTGTTCACGAACGGATTGTGCCGCCGCCGGTAAAAGTAACTGGAAACGATAAGGGCGGGGTGCATCATGGTTTTTTTGCACGATCGCCCGTGATCGCGATGCTAGCACTGCAATCGTAGGGTCTCAGGTTGGGTTGGATGTGCTCGGAAGAGCCTTTAATCCAACGGCACCCCTTCTTTGATGCACCACCTCCAAGTTTATTGCCCCGATCCCCAACCGCATCCTGAAGTGGCCCAGTCAGTAGAATGGGCACTTCCGAAGGATGAGGTTCCGGGCTCAAACCCCAGTGCCGGTGTGTTCTGCCAAGCCCCCAGAAGGGGGTTTCGCACTGCTCATCTGGGAGTGGATAGTCCTTCCTCGATACCCAGCGAGGCGTGTAAATAAGTGGGTAGGCGGATTACGATCGACAGCCAGGGTAATACCAAAGGGAGTTTCCCCTAAAACCTTTACCTTTACCGATCCCCAGCCGCCAATGAGATGCGGTCAAGGAGTCGCATCTACAGTTAGCTGATCTGGTAATTCGTTCACAATGCACTCGCAGGTGTTTCGTTTCTCCGTTATGCGACAACAAATATTTCGCTAGCAAGGGTCGGTGTGCACGCGGTGCACCAACGCCTGATCGCGGCTGATCGCAGGCTGTGGGATCTAGCCTGATCGAAGGCTGTTTGGTAGGTGGTTGACCAACCTTTCAAGGCCAGTAATCTCTGTACATACACGACAAAACACTATAACAAGGATCGCTTGGGATCGCGATCCCCAAAAACAGCATGATGCACCCCGCCCCGGCGCGGAAATTCGGCAACACATTCCGCATGGTCCACTTACATCCATGAGAAAGTTGAGAGCTGGCAACGTCGAAGCGCGAGCAGCTTCGACAAGTTGTTGACGGTCTCGGAGTAACCTGCCAGATGGCGCGATAGATTACGCGGGAGTTTAGGTTTATGCCAGGAACGGCGTGTCGATATCCGATTGGTTGGCTGTTTGAGACTTAACTCAACACACCACCAATCAGCGAACGCAACAATCTGACGTGCCTCTCCAAGTACACAAGATGCCCGTTTGACTAGCCCAAGGTTGCCTTGTGAAGAGGGCTCTTAAGTGATTCTTGCATTTCGCTAAGTTTTCGTCAATTCGCACTTAGCAAAAAGGGCTTTTAAAAGATTTTGTAACTCTGTGTTGACCATTTGACGTTGGTCTTGTCAGAGGTCCACTGATGATCCCCGATTGATCCTAGGGAAGGGTTACATGCATGTTGGCCTGGGGGGTTATGGGCGCACTTACCCGCTACACAAACAAGCCATTTTATCCCAATGGTCTAGTGGTTGGGATTCTGACAGGTCTCTTTTGTCAAACTTCGGTTTTTGTGGTTCGTATTGCTCGAGGTGCTTGTAAATGGGGTGCAACTGGCTGGCACCCTAATACACGGGTGCAGAGTTTCCATCGCGGGCAGGGCAAATTCGCGCCCAGGGGTTGGGCATCTTGCGTACTGGAAAAAATGGTGTGGTGCAAATGACTACTGCGAAACTTTTTGACACCGTGGCACAAGGGATAATCTAGTGCTTGGTAGCGCCTGGGATATATGTTGCGTTGCGTCCTAAATGGAAAGGACAAAAGAAATATACTGTAATTTGCCTATACCCTTGAGTAAGAACGAAAATACCCAAGTACACTCAGCCGGTGTACACCAAAACTTCCATGCCATCCAACCCAGTTGCCATCCAGGCCTGGTATTTGTAAATAGCTAGACATCTACCGTATCAGCAACACTCAGCAAAACGCTACCATCTAGGCCTGGCCTTCTTCCCCCTGAGCTTCGCCACATGCCGGTTGCTGTCGTGCTTGCCCTTGTCCCTCCCCATCCACCTCCCAAGCCTCTTCCCATGCGCCTCCCTCCCTCCCTCCCCACCACCACCACCCCCAGCAGCAGCACCAGCAGGCATGGCAGAGAGCTCCTGGAAGGGGTTCTTGTTCCTCCCTCCCATGGGGTCGGGCGCGTCACCATCTGCTTTGCGCTTCACCTTCTTCACGCGCCCCCTGTCCAGCTCCTCGTCCCTGCCCCATGCACAGTCGGGTGGGGAGGAGTGGGGAGAGGTGGGGAGGGGGTAGGGGGGTGGCGAGGGGGAACCGAATGAAGAGTGTAAGACGAGGAAGGGACAGGTGGAGGGAGGTGTGTAAGGGGGGAGAGGGAGACGGGGCGGATATGGGAGAAGAAGCAAGTGAGGGGGAAGCGGTGCCCTTGATGCTGGGATGGCGATATGGCGGCACTCACCACTCATCGTATCGGTACTTGCTGGCCGGCCGCCTCTCGACTAGATGGTGGCCGCCGTTCACCCCCATGGCTTCTGCATCCACACACAGGAGACCAGATAGGGCAGGAAAAGGAAAAAGGGGCATGGCACATACGAGGGATGAACAGGCTTCACAACAAGCGCAAGAGAGCAAGCTGCTGAACACACTACACAGCAGACTCACAAACGCCTGGCGTCTTAACTTCACCTGCCACAGACCAAGACGCTAACCTCCCGTTCCCCCTCCTGCCGCTCCTCCTTTGTTCCTTGATTCCCACCGCGAGTCAACCTCCCTGATCCCACACCATGGCCTTGCCCCAACAACACCCACCATGGCCTTGCCCCAAAAACACCCACCATGGCCTTGCCCCAACAACACCCACCATGGCCTTGCCCCAACAACACCCACCATGGCCTTACCCCAACAACACCCACCATGGCCTTGCCCCAACAACACCCACCATGGCCTTGCCCCAACAACACCCACCATGGCCTTGCCCCAACAACACCCACCATCCCACGTGCCTCACAAGCAGGGCCCCTGATAACAGCCCCAGTCTTCCCATGAGCACACCCAGCTGCACCGCACGACATCACACGATAATGCTCTCCCCCACTGCCACTCACCATCGTCGCCCCACTGCCACTCACCATCGTCGCCCCACTGGGAGCCCGCCACCGCGCCTGCCCCAACAGTCGCCTCCTGCGCGCCCTCCCTCATCATCCACACCGCGTCTGACCCCCCATACGTCACCACCCTGCTCCTGCTGCCACCACCATTCCCCTGCCCGGTCCCCTGTTCACCCCTTCCTCCCTCGCTCTCCTCCTCCTCCTCCTCCTCCTCCTCCTCCTCCTGGTCTCCCTCATCTTTCCCTCTCTCTTTCTCCCCTGTACCCTCGTCCTCACTCTCACTCCCACTGCTCCACCCCTCCGAGTCATCGTCTGACGACCCCACCCTCTGAACCGCTATCCCCGGCCCTGCCATCATCATCGCCTCCCCTTCCTCCTCCTCCTCTGAATCCACCTCCCCCTCCTCCAGTCCCATCCCGTCCATCACTTGTAGCGCATCCACCTCTTGTCGCTTTCTCCTCACCTCCTCCTTCCTCTCTCCTCCCTCCACCACCCTCGCCTCCTCTCCCCTGCCCACCCTCCTTCCACTCTCCCCCTTCTCCTCCACCCTCATCCCTCCTCTCTCCCTCTCCTTCCTCACCCCTCCTCCCTCCTCTTCCACTCCCACCCCTATCCCTCCACTCCCCTCCCAATCCACACCAGGGCCCCACCCCTCCATACCCGCTCTCCTCCTCTTCCGCCCCCTGCGTCCCCCCAACGGAAAAACCAGCTCCACCCGCCGTCCCCTCTCCCTGATCGTACGCCCAGCTTCTACCCTTCCCCCATAAAAAGGCAGCGGCACGAGCGGAGACATGAGCCTCAGCATCCTCTCCCTGCTGCTACCCATAGCACTGCCCAGGCTGGCACTGCTCCTGCCCCACCCGCTGCCGCCAAAGCTCCCTCCCCACCTGCTGCCACGGCCAGGGCTGCTGCGGCTCCTGAGGCTGCCTCTCGACTCCCTGGAGGAGCCAGGCAGCAGTCGTAGCATCTGCCCCACTGCTGCCGCCCACGATGACCCCCTCACATGGCCCGCACTGCCCTCAGCATCGTTGTCCGCATCCTCTCCACCCTCAGCACCCAACGTCCAATCGGGGTCGTCACTCTCATCGTCAGAATCGCTACCTGCTGCCTGCCCATCTGCCCCTCCCTCCCCGTCCACCTCCCTGTCCTCCTCCCCATGCTCCTCCCGTTCCTCACTGCTCTCCTCGTCACTTGACGCCTCTGCCAGCACAGCCTGCCCCGCTCTCTCGCCCCATTTCTCCCCCTCTACCAAAGCCTCCTCCGCCCCTTGTCCTCCACTCGCATCCATCATCACTCCCTGCTTGCCGTCACCCTTCACACCTGCCCTCGCCTTGGCCTCGCGTGCAACACTACTGCCCACTTCTGTACCCTCGCCCGGTGCTGCTCCCGCCCTCTCCGTGCTCTGTGCCTGTGCCGGTGCTTGTGCCTGCACCTGGGCCTGTTCCTTTTCCTGCGCCTCTGCCTGTGCCTGCACATGCATGAACGCGTCTACATGCGGCACTGCTGCCTTGCCCTTCCTTTTCAACTCCGCCTCACCACCAGCCCCAGCAGCTGACACCGTGGCAGCAGCAGCAGGGGTTTTAGCAGCAGTAGCAGCAGCAGCAGGTGAAGGAATAGAAGCAGGACGAGCAGCAGTAGCAGCAGCAGCAGGCGGAGGGGATTGGCGGACGTAGAAGAGGAGGTAGGCGCGTTGTTGCAGCACGGTCTTCTCACTCACCTGCTGCACTCGCGAATCATCCATGGCACTCCACGTGCCTGACGGCCCGCGCACGTAGCAATAATAGTGCCCCGAGTTGGTGGACCATCCCGCATGCACCAACACCCCGTACAGACTGTACTTGCCTCCCCTACTATCCTTACCCCCACCTCCACCCCCACCCACATCCCCTCTGCTGCTGCCGCCAGTGCTGCTGGTGGAGGAGCGGGAGGAGGTCATGAAGGGGGAGAGGTCGAGGGAGGGGGGGAAGGCGATGTGCTTGTCCAGCTTGCGCCCTGTGAGAGCAGCGAAGCGCTTCAGGTGCACTGTCAGCACGGGGGGTGCTTCCTCCACTGCGAAGCTCTTGAGGGCCCGCACCTTCTTCTTGCACTTGCTGCTCACATGAGGGGGTTAGGAAGGGGACAGGGGTAAGGATCGAGAATGTTAGTCGCTTCAGATACACCGTCAGCACGGGGGGTGCCTCCTCCACTGCAAAGCTCTTGAGCGCGCGCACCTTCTTCTTGCACTTGCTGCCGGGATGGGGAGTTGGGTCCGGATGGCGATCGCGATGGAGAAGCGAAGAGAATGAGGGAGTTGATCGCTGAGATGCATGCACCGTCAGGAAGGAATGAGAGGGAGGGAAACGAGGTGAGATGATGGACAGAAGGCACTTCACGCCTTCCAGCTCAACCCCCTCAGGCTCCGGCAGCCACATTTTACCTGCATTTGAACTTGGTCGCCCCATCCAAAGCACCTTACAATGTAGCACTTCAATTCAAGCTCAGCCCCTTCAGACCCCAGCAAGCACACCCTCACCACACCTGCACGAGTGCCTGATGGCTCTCACCTGCACTTGTACTTGTTCGCCCCATCCAAAGCCTCTTCCGATGTGAACCGATGCAGAGCCTTGGTCACGGAGTCAGCTCTGACAATCTCGAGGCTGAGGTCCAGGAACGGGTCGTAGGTTCGGGAGCAGTACCCGCACACAGTGCACTGCACCTGGCTGCACAGGTACCCGCCGAACGTCCGGTGCACGAACGTGTTCATCAGCCTCGGCGCGAAGGCAGGGTCGGCGCCCGAGCCTGAGGCGGAGGCTCGTTTGGGCGGGAGGCAGCATCGGTGGAGGGCGTCTAGCAGGCAACGCATGTACTCGTGTGCGTCCTCCTGCCTACCTGCTTTGAACGACCGCGCCACGCCTGTGTGCATAGGGGAAGGGATGCGGGGGGGTGTGGGAGACACGGGAGATGAGGAGGAAATGGGCAATGAGGAGGAGGTGTGATGGGGAGAGGGGCAGGGGAGATGAGAAGGAGGGGGACGAGAGGCCAAAAGGAGATGAGGCGGAAAAGGGGAGGTGAGGTGAGGGTGTGGGGGGTGAATGCGAGAGGGGGAGAGGGAAAGAGAAGGACGACAGGGAGAGGGGGGTGGGGCAGGGCGTACTCTTGACGTTGCGCACAAAGCCTGTGGGCGAGACCACCTTGCCCGTGGCCCCCACTGCCCTCGGCACGTGCGTCTCCATCTCACACAGCGCACACCACCCCGCCACCCTGCCTGCCATGCACAGGACAGACGAAAGGTTGCAACAGTCTGTCAGAAACTGGCTGTCTGGCAGCAGCGGTGGTCAATCAAGAAGATATGGAATGGAGTACACGCAAGGGCTTGCTTGCAGAACGAGCAATTGTACAATGAGCACGGGAAAGGCCAGCCGCGTGGGAAATACTCACAGGTGGCGGAGTGCGGCGACTGCGAGAGGTAGTTGGCGAGGGGCGGCGTGTACGTGAGGCACTGCAGGACGGAGTTCATAAAACACGTGTTGCCTAGGTTGCTCAACCCCGCTCCCTGCCACCCACCCCACCACACACGCAGTCGTTCCCGCACCAAGAAAATATTCTGCCTCTCCAATATCTCAAAGACCATGCGATAGCTGCACTGCGCGCAGCAGCGCACAGGGTGCGTGACGGATATGTTTGGCGGGGTTGGGGTTCGTGGGTGGCGGGGGCAGGGTAGCATGCGTATCGTCCAATCCTGCAATCACGGACTGCTCAATTGCTGCAAGACTGGGTGTAATTGGTTTCACGGAGCAGCATAGCGTACAGTGACATGAACGGGCTGCATTGGCGCGCATGTCATAGAGAGCCGAGAGCTGCACGCGTGTTTTGCTTACAATGGGCCGTATTTGCCGCCATTCCAAAGCCACATCCGACCGATCCAGACGCCCCTCCAATCCGTCTGGCTCCCTCTCACTCGACTCGCGCCGCTCCTTCTCTCCCTTTCTCTTCCCCTCCTTCCCCTTCCCCCTATCATTGCTCTCCAATCCGACCACTGGCTGCCTGCCACGTGGCTCGCGGCTCGGATCGGCCGCATTCAGCGGCTTAAGGTCCACGGGGAGCGTGGAGTGCGCGTCGGGGTGCCGCGCGGGGAGGAAGTTGATGCGCCGGGGGAGGCCCTCGCCTCCCGCGTACAGCGCGCCGATGCCGGACCTTACGCGAGTCAGAGAAACATCGCTCACGCCGTCGTGACTGTAACGGTGGCTGTGACTAGGAACGGCCTTATCGAGCGAGTCGGTGTTTCTGACGTAACCGTTGGGAGGTGCTGATGAGCTCCCAGCCTTAGATTCGTGTCCAGATGGCTTCCTACCATTGGCTGGGAGGTGCTTGCCTGAATGCGGCTGCTCCAAACTCCCAACTTTCTTCTTAAACCCCGAGCCTTGCGCCGACACTACGGGAGTCGCTTCGCCTCGGTGTTTCTCCGAACCTCGCCCGCCGGTTTGTCCTGACCCTTGTTGAGAAGCCTTCCGAGCCACAAGCGGAGCAGGCATGACGTGATTCGTGGAAAAACTTCGGGAATTACTCCTCTGGATCACCAGTGTACTCAACGAATTGAGCCCTAACGGAAAAACTTGCCGGCCAAGAAAGACGAAAGCGTAAATCTCGACTTTCCCAGGCCTGACATCGGCCGTTTCTGTGTCAAAGGAGTAAGCGAACCGCCATGACTTGACTTGTGAAAGAGCTAAACTTTGGTGAACCGAAGAGACTTCTCTGCGTGGGAAACTCAAGGGTGTGAGGTGAGGCTGCTCGCTTGCTTCGGTCTATGGCTAGGCTCAGATAGATGTTCCCATATCTGTGTTGTGCAAGCCAAGGGAGTTCCGCCGAGCCGAGCCTCGACACTTCCAAACTGGCATCCGCCTTTGGAGGGTCCTCTTTAGCAAAGGCAAATGTGTCTTTTGTCCAGCAATGTATGAATTGTTAATTCTTCATCTGTAAGCATAAAACGAAAACAGTGAGTGATATTCAAAAGGGGATGCACTTGGTTTCCACATGATTGATCAGCGAAAGGAGACGCGGAAAGGAGTTGCATTGCTGTACGCTTCTCCGCACAGTGGGGCTCCTTGTTGATTTTGGGAGACCGACTCACGCTGAAAGGGAAGCTATTATTGGGCTGAGAAAATCGACCTAATCCAAGCCTCACAAATCAAACAGGTTTTAGCCACGGAGTAGTTTAAAATATCTCGGATTCATAGTGGTGGTGGGAGAGGTACACTCGCTATCTTTCTCACTCAGGTCCTTTTTGTCCAGCAAGGCAGAGACTGCTCGCACCGCCGAATCGAGGTTTGCCACATGACCTACATTCTGACTGGTGAATCCAGCAAGCCTTCGATGTCGCAAACCACGTCAAACCTGACGGTTTTGGACCACCAGTTTTACAGCCACCGCAAACCAACCACATAACAACGCCATCGGTCCGCGCTGAGCCAGCAAAGTTGCGCTGTGATCGACGGTTTCCGTCAACTCAGTGAACGGCCAGATGTCGCTGATGCGATTGCGGGGCATCCTCGTGTTTCGTCCGCAGGTTCGGAGGCAATCCCAAGGTTGGGGGGAGCTTCCCGAGGCACGCAAACCCGTCTCAAATCCCTTCTCCCCACCCAGCCCCTGTCAAACCCACGCAACTGCACCAAAGCTGCCGAGCCGAGCTCCCCAGCACGCAAGAACAAGCGACGCAGGCGAACCCCTCATACATTACCTCCTTCCGATCAGGCATTTCGAACGATCAGCTCTGAGATCAGTTCACAGCTGGTCTTTCTACCTTCCTGTGTGGATCCGAGTCTAAGGTCTCAAACCACCCCCTTCGGAATTCGGGCTGTTCTTCCCCGATAAGCCACACAGAAGGCGTAACCATGGCGACCACTTCGGCGGCCGTCCTCCCGTCAGGGGTCTTCCTAACCCGAGGGTCGGAGATCCAGAGAATTCCCGCGCGCGCCGCTGCGGGAGCCAGAGCCCTCGCACCCCTCGCGTCGTCAAAACTGCGAGCCTCCCCCAGATTGCCGGCCCTATCCACTCCATTCATCCGATCCTTCAAACCCACTGCGGCTCCGACCGTCGGCCTGCAGTCACAAAGACGACAAATCTCGTGCGCCGTGGAGGCTCCTCCCAAGCAATCAGCTCCAGAGCCATCTCCGTTTGAAGCGGCGCAAGTGTGGTTCTCGGACGTGATCGCGCAACGGAAGCGGCCGTACTTCTTCAACCGGGAGTACACGTCAAAGGACATCAGCTACGCGGTGTACATGCTCTTCGTCCATGGCTTGTGCCTCTTCGCTCCAGCCACCTTCTCCTGGGAAAACGTTGGCCTCTTCGTCGGCCTTTACGTGATCACAGGTGCGTTGTTTCTTCGCTTGCAGACTGTTTTCTCCTCGCTTTTTTACATCTCCGCAACCGTGACTTAGCAATTGTTCATCTAGCGTTGAGGCTGACTTTCCTTAGCAATTGTTCATCTGGCGTTTGGTCCTCATTACTATCCAGGAATGTTTGGGATCACGCTGTCATACCACCGCAATTTGTCGCATCGTTCTTTCACGCTTCCCAAGTGGCTCGAGTACACCTTCGCGTACTGCGGGGTTCAAGCTGTTCAGGTACGACGTCGCTGCTCACTCTTTGCTCACTGATCTTTGTCTTCGCGCGTTGTTCGTCCCTTTCACTCAGTCGTGTTCGCGTTACTTTTATCCAATTCTCCTGTGACGCTCCTGTGGAAAACTTGCATTTCCACAATCATTCTCTTCCATACCGTCCCTCGTCCGGCGTCCGAACCCCGTCCTGTTTGTGTCTCACGTTGCTTCCCGCAGGGCGACCCCAAGGAGTGGGTGAGCGCTCACCGCTATCACCATCGCTTCTGCGACACGCCTGCCGACCCGCACACGCCGTACGAGGGCTTCTGGCACAGCCACATGGGGTGGCTTCTCGACGACGTCGCCACGCAAGAACGGGTAAGATTATTCTTAAGTGTGCCCTGTCGCGTAGCTCACCTTTGCGTAACATCGCACCTTAAACTTGGAAGCAGTTGAACCTGGAACGGAAAATGGACGTCAAATGTAGCAGGATGTAAAAAGAAAAACATGTGTAGAGTGAGGGACGACTCCTTACCGTGTGTTTTTTTTTTTCTGCACTGTACCGTACTGCACCACGTGAAACTCCAGGTGGGTGTGCGCAACAACATCGCGGACATGGAGAACGATCCCTTCTACAACTTCATCGAGGCCACCTACGTGTGGCACATCGTGGCGTCCGTGCTGCTGCTCTACGCCCTCGGAGGCTTCCCCTGGGTCGTCTGGGGCTTCGTAAGTGCTCCGTGAATCTTTTGCGAGCTGGCCTTGTCCTTCGAGTCGAGTCTTTGTGCAACCTTGGCTCATCCTTTGGGTCGTATGGGGTTAGTAACTGTCCTTCAATTTTTTTGCAGCTTTGATTCATCCTTTCTTCCTTGGGTTCTCTTCAGTCCTTTATCAGGTCTTCCAAAGGCAACTAATGGTCGAAATTTCGTTGCTATAACGGTTGTATTATTCTCCTTTTGTTGTCCACGTCTGTCTCTCTCAGGGCGTGCGCGCCGTGTGGGTGTACCACATCACATGGTTCGTCAACTCCGCGTCGCACGTGTGGGGCTACCAATCCTGGAACACTGGCGACCTTTCGCGAAACAACTGGTAGGCCTTGCAATGTCTCTTTCGACAACTCCCTCCCCCCAACCTACAGTCAATATGGCCTGTGAAGATTCGTTAAGGGCTTGTTGGGAAGGCAGTTAAGTGAGCTGAGGCCTATGCACCTTAAGCTTCAGCTCAGTCGCTCAGTGGGTCAAGACTGTGTGTCAAGTGTCTCTATTGTGGCAGATGCAAGAGCATGTGCAGCAGAGTGTGCTCACGCCTTCAGCACTTAGCCTGTTGGCTAGCCTTTAGTCGGATCTGGGTGAGCGGGTCTGGGGGGTGGTAAGATTCAGCAGGACTCCGAGGGAGTTGTGTTACCCAGCTTGGATGGCACATGCTCCTGGTTCTAGTTAGCACTCGAGTCTGTCTACATGGAAACGTCACATTGCTCTCTTCCCCCTAACGTCCCGTTGGCTCACTCTTCCTTCCCTCCTATCCCTCCTATTGCCTGCACGACAGGTGGGTGGGGCTGCTGGCGTTTGGCGAGGGGTGGCACAACAACCACCACGCGTTCCAGTACTCGTGCCGGCATGGGCTGGAGAATCACCAGGTGGACATGACGTGGTACACCATCAAGCTGCTCGAGGCTGCAGGGCTCGCCACCCAGCTCAAGTACCCCCATGAGAAGCACATGAAGCGCCTCTCCTTCCCGGACCAACCAGCCCCCCAGCAGTAGCTGATGACGCAGACTCACGCTTCTCTCCCTCACTCTGCCGTCATCCCAGTCCCCAGGCTGGGAGTCCCAGTTCTTCCTCCCCCGTGTCGTGTTCGTGTGCGTGGATGGGCTGATTTGGGAGGATTGGGATGGCTGTTATTCCTTGCTGGGATGGCTGTTATTCCTTGCTGGAATGGGTGCATTCCCAAACTGTATTGTTGGTCGACAAGACACATTCACGTCCTTTGCCTTAGGCAAAAGGCTGTGTTGTAAAGAGTTTTTTTTGGCATAATGGAAATAGAACTTCTGGTTTTATAAAATGCATGGTAGCAGTAATGATCAAGTCCTAGAGACTTGCCAACCAAAGCAGTAAAACAAGGGAAGCAACATACCGTAGAATAAACTGTAGCTGAAACCAGGTTTGCAGCTGTTTGGTTCAAGGGAGGAGAGAATATCGTACCCGTATATGGTGGATGGTTGTCAGGCAGATGCCAATGCAGACGAGCTTGCAAGGCAATTCAGATGCATTGTAAGGAAAATTCCTTTTCCTTACTTCGCGTCCCTGCTCAGCGCGTACACCACTGTTCCCACCCACAGCACCCAACAGTAATCCGTTACCACTCGCGACACTTGCTTCGACACCATTCCCGCCACCATTCACGACGCGACCCAACCTCACGGTTCGGTTGGTAACCCGCGCTCCGGACCTCCGCCTCGACACTTTCCCAACCTCGGCACCAGGCCCGTCGCGCACCCCATTTTTCACACATTACCGTTACCACTGTAGTTTCGCTATATATTCTTCGCTCATGCCTTCGCTCATTGTACTCTTGCTTCGATAGTGCAATTCTCACTCGTTCGCTCAATTGCACTCGTAACACTTGGTATTCAGAGCCTACGATCTCTTCTCGGACCGCACCCACACCTTCGCTTCCCCACTATCTCCATTTTTGGGGGGGGTAGACGTCTCTCAGCGAACTAGCACCGCCGCTCGAAGTGCCCTCTCGTAAGCACGCACGGCCACGACAGAGGCTCCCGCTGAGTTTGCCCGACACCCCCGCCATGGCCGACATTAATCTTGCGACATTGACGCAGGAGCAGCTCGACCGTCTCGTACGTCTCGAAGATTCGGCACTCGAAATTGCGACACTCACGGCGGAACGTGACTCCGCCCGCCAGCAATCAACGGTGAATGCACCGGCTCCATCACAAGCACCCGCAAATGCACCTGCGCAATCAGAAGAACCGATCGTCATCTCATCAGGCACACCGACGCAAAACGACAGCGTGGGACAGCGCTCAGGCGCAGCCAGTGATGGCGCCGCTCAATCGATGCCTGGCATGGAGAGAAATCGGGCCGCGCCAAGCCCGCGTGGGCCTCGCGAAGCTCGTCGGCACGTGGAGTTTGCAGCAACAAGTGGCGACCACATCATGGCACCAATGCCACTCAAGCCGCAGCGCCCGCCCTGTTTCGATCCAAGCCAACGTGGAGGTCCGACGGTTCAGTCGTGGGTCTTCACGATGAACGTTTTCTTCGACGCGAATTACGTCGAGTCGGACGCAGCGAAGATTCGCTATGCTGTTTCGCTGCTGAGGGGCCCCGCCATGGACTGGTGGCGAGTCATCGTGACGTCGCCACGCGCCTACGAGCCACTGTCGCAAGAGGAAGGGCCCACGGGACCAGCCGTCACCTGGAGTTCATTCTGCGAAACAGCCCAATACAGCACGTGGGATTCGTGGTGCGCAGGGCTTCGGGCGCGCTTCGAGCCGATCGCGGCTTCTATTTCGGCGCGTCAGAAACTGCGTACTTGGCGGCAGCTCGGATCGGTCCAAGACTACACGAGCGGTTTTCTCGCATTATGCGAGCAAGTCGGCTATATGCACGAAGCGGAGCGGGTGGACCGTTACGTCGGAGGGCTGAAGCCGGACATCTCGCACGAAGTCATGCTACGCGGACTCTCAAATTTCAACGAGATTCTCGCGCTCGCCGAGAAAATCGACATATTACGCCGACCGAGACCGGGGTCCTACTACGGACATCGCCCTCGGGGACCAATCGAGCACGCCACTGTACACGCTGTTGCGACGAACGCAGCTGCCGCGCCGTTTAAGGGGCGCTGCTTCGCTTGCAATAGGCCGGGCCATCGTAAGAGTGAGTGCCCAGAGGAGCTGAGGCGCCGCGGAGCAGAGCAGGGGAGGGAGTCTCTAAGGCAGGGAAACGCCAGCAGTCAGTAGGAATCGGGCCAACTACTGACGAGACTGCCTGCTCGCCAAACCACACCGACCCTCACCGAGTCACAGTACCGATTCACGCTATCGATCGGGCTCGGATGAATAAGGAGGGTACAGCGACGGATTGCCCAGTACTGATCCACGGGAAAATACAGGGAGCAGCAGTGAAGATTTTTATAGACGGAGGAGCAAGCCACAGCTTAGTTAATACCGCAACCGCACGAAAGCTGCAACTGACACTTAGTCGGTGTTTACCGGAAATAGATGCACGCTTAGTGGACGGAACGCCACTGGCCATACGGGAGAAGGTGGAGAGAGTAAAGGTCCGCTGCGGGGGAATTTTTGGGTTTACACAGGAAATGCTCGCGACGACATTGGATGGGCACGACATTTTACTGGGACGTGATTGGCTGCGACGGTATAACCCGCGAATCGACTGGACGACGGGTAGCTGCACTGTGCGAAGTAGCGGTAACTGGGTCGTGCTACCTCGCTGGCAGTCGCCCGAGTCTTCAACGGTCCACGTCAACGCCATCACGATGAAACGGGCTATCGCCGCTGGAGCTGACGTGTACGCAGTGGATATAGCATTGGTAGGAGAAGCGGAGCAGCCGAACGATTTTCAGAAACTGTTGGCAGCAGTACCGCCTGAACTACAGGAACTGTTGAAACGATACCCGGGGATTTTTCCGGACGATTTACCAGAGGGACTGCCACCTCAGCGGGCACATGACCACCGCATAGAGTTAGAACCGGGGGCACAGCCAACTGTACAGCGACAATTCCGCCTGACACAGCCAGAGCTAGACGAACTGAGGAAGCAGTTAGATTACCTGTTAGAGAAAAAATTCATCCGACCGAGCTCGTCGCCGTTCGCCGCACCGATACTGTTCACACCGAAAAAAGACGGGGGTTTCCGCGTGTGTATCGACTACAGAGCACTGAACAGGGTAACAGTCAAGTCGCGATACCCCATTCCCCGCGCCGACGAACTGATAGATCAACTGCGAACAGCACGGGTTTTTTCGAAAATAGATTTACGGGGAGGTTACCATCAGATTCGGGTCGAACCATCAGACTGCGCCAAGACAGCATTTAGGACTAGGTACGGGTCATTCGAGTACACTGTGATGCCATTCGGGTTGATCAACGCACCGGCAACATTTCAGATGACCATGAACGAGGCGTTTAGGCCACTTTTAGATAAATGCGTGATAGTTTACCTCGACGACATCCTAGTCTACAGTCGTGATAAGCAGCAGCATTTAGCAGATCTGGAAGCAGTGTTTAACGTTTTAGACAAGCACCGACTACTGACCAAGGGTTCCAAGTGCGAGTTTTTTCAGGACAGGTTATAATTTTTGGGGCACGTCATTTCGGAGGTTGGGGTTGAAATCGACCCAAAGAAGCTCGACACGGTCAAAGCATGGCACCCCCCGACAAATATCACGGAGCTGCAGAGTTTTTTAGGGTTCGTGAATTACGTGCGTCGGTTCGTCCCCGACATGGCGAAGTTAACAGCCCCACTGACGGATCTGCTGCGGAAAGGGGTCGCTTTTACGTGGGGGGAGAAAGAGCATGCTGCTTTCTTTGCCCTGAAAACTGTTCTCTGTTCACCACCCGTACTGCGCATCGCTGACCCACACCGCCCCTTCGAAGTAGTAACCGACGCAAGCGACATCGCCATTGGAGCCGTACTGCTACAAGATTTCGGCAACGGCCTACAGCCCATCGCATACGAATCACGAAAGCTGCATCCGCCCGAGAAAAATTACTCGATACACGACCGCGAAATGCTCGCGATCGTGCATGCGTTCAAAGTCTGGCGCTGTTACTTGACCGGCGCAGACGTGACAGTACGGACAGACCACCGATCCCTACAGTACCTCCGCGCACAGCCCCACCTCAACCCACGACAGATCCGCTGGCTCGATTTCCTCGAGTCAAATTTCCACTACACTGTCACCTACAAAAAGGGAGCATCCAACATCGCTGACGCACTGACCCGCCCCACTGCCCAAATCCACGCGATACTACTCGCCCAGACCAGCCCGCTACTGACAGGACTATTTACCCATGGGTACCAAACATACCCATTCTTCACAGGAGGAAATTCGCAGCAGTTCGCAGCAGCCAAAGGCGTCTATTACGTAAAAGCCGGGACCGACCGCATCTGGGTACCAGGGTACACACTGCTACGGGAATTACTGTTACAGGAGGCACACGACGGAGTTACCTCGGGACATTTCGGGGTAGAGAAAACACGGCAGCAGCTGCAGCGGTATTATTACTGGCCCGAAATGTTGGCCGACGTTCAACGACACGTGGCATCGTGTCCCACTTGCCAGATCATGAAGTCATCACGGAAGCGGCCGGCAGGACAGTTGCAGCCGATACCACCCCCAGAGCGTGCTTGGCAGCAGGTGACGATGGACTTCGTCACATGGTTACCGGCCGGAGCAAGTGGGAATGACGCGATCCTGGTCGTCGTCGATCGACTGACGAAAATGGCACACTTCGCAGCATGCAAAAAATCAATCACAGCCGAAGAAACAGCCCGCCTCTTCATCTCCACCATCGTTCGACTGCACGGGATACCAGCATCAATCATCAGCGACAGAGACACGAAATTCACCAGCAACTTCTGGCGGAACCTGTGGCAGCAATTCGGCACGCGACTGCAGTTCAGTTCATCATACCACCCCGAAACCGACGGACAGACAGAACGGACAAATCAGACCATGGAACAGCTCATCCGGGCCACGTGCGACGACCCGACCACGTGGGAA